TAATCTGAATGTAGCCTGTAAGTAGTTACTTTGATCTTATACCAATCATCATGCCTGTCAGAAAACGAGCGGGGGGAGGGCATGGAAATCACTGCAAGTCAAAACTTTGGTTGAAAGATAAGATGTTATGATTATGTTCATTATGTTACTGTAATTAAGAAGTTGGGGTTGATCGCTCAAAGCTTCCAATATATAAAAATCAACAGCCATTTTAGTTGAACTGCTACATCCTGTGACCTGTTTTTAATTGACTTCCCTTCTCCTGACTCTTCAAAGCAGGGCTGCCAAAGCCACCAGCTTCCGACTTTGAAGCTCTCTTAAGAAAGAGAGGAAAAAAAACCAAGGCCAAAAGTCAAGGGCTTTCAACTACATATGTTTTAGGCCAAATTTACAATGTCTATTTTTCTTTTTTTCCTAGTTTCTCAAAAGGTTACTTTTCATGCATTCTTTGATCTAGAAAAACAAAAATAAACTAAGATACCCCATATTGATCATGTTTTTCAGAAATCTCATTTAACAATTGGTCTAGTCACACATGTCTGCTTTTCTATTTTTTTTTCTGAAGATGGAAGTTTAACGTTTCTGATATATGCAGAATAGCAGCTCAATTCTTTTTTCTTTGCAATCCTCCTTCTATAATGGAATTATCATGTAATGGCCAATGGCTGGTTCTATAGGACAAAACCTTTGCCCAAATCTCCGGACAGCCGGCTGTGCCCCAGTTATAGCTCAGTGAAGTACCATTCATGGGTTCGTGGTCTGTGCTCACACCATCATCTACAGCCACCTTTCATTATAATATTTATATTACGGAAATAAAAATCCCAATAATTTGACAATTAATCGATTATTTGCCAAGGTCAGACATACATGAAGAGTGTTTGGAAATTTATGGAAGAAAATGAGGTGTCCCAGCCTATTTTGTGAAGAATGTTTTGGAAACAGATTTCAATAAGTGTTCAAAACTTAAAAAGGGGTTGGCGGGGGTGAGCTCCTTGGAAATACCAACAAGCCTTGCAAAGTCTTAAATTTCTTCAGGACTAGAATATATCCCTCCCCCCACATTTAGTTTTTGTGCCATTTCATGGGTCTCCAAGGCAAAACTAACATGTATTTTTATATTGGCATCTTCTTCTCATTTTGACAATGTAGAATGTCCTGGGTTCTAAATAGAACAATAACTCCCGTTTGGATAATGCTTTTCTATTTAGACACACCCCTCCCTTCTCACCCTCACCCCCTCATCCCCTGCCCTGTGTAAAATCATTCAAGCCTCACTCTAAGTACTATTGTTTATTTTATAGATGCATTAATAGATGCTGAAAGATTTTAGTAAGTAGGCAAACCCGGATGAGATCTTTTGGTTCCACATATTTCTACACGCCACACTCATCTCTTCTGTCAATGCATCCAGGCTTAACCTGTGAAGGAGTAGTGTGAGGCAGTGTCCGTCCTGTACCCCTGTGCTGACACTCTGGTAAAAACTCTTCATACTCTGTATTCTGGGAAGCTTGCAAGTCCCATATGACCAAAAAGGACACTGTGGCATTCAAATTCATTCATTCAGCATTTTTGAGCACCACTGTGTACCAGACTATGCTAGACATGAGGGTATAGCAGTGAACAGGATAGAAAAGGTCAGTCCCTCCTCTTGGGTGGGAGAAATAGAAAATGGGTGCATAAAAACAAAAAATACTTTCCAATAGCTATATGTGTCCTGGAGAAAGTAGAGAAAGGGAGCATGTTAGGGAGTGGCGATGGGGGTGAGCTGGAGGTGGTGGTTTAGGTGGTGTAGGAGGTAGTGTTTTCAGTAGGGCATTCAGTCTGCCTAAGTAACATTCAAATGCTTATGTTTTATAAATTCTTTGCTGGCCAACAGATGGATTCAGCCTAGGCATTGCATTAGATCTTTCCTAGGGAATGGTTTTCATTTTACAGATAAAACAACAAGACAAAATTGAGACAGGGAGAAGTCAAGGTGACTGATCAGCATCACACAGATGATTTGTGCAAGGTTAGGGCCAGGGTCTAGGTTTCCTGCCTCCCACGACTGAGCTCCTTCCATCGCACTGCATTGTGTTTATCGTATGAGCCATGTATCCTTGTCGCAGCAGCCTGGCCAGTCCTTCCTGACTTATGCCAAAGGACAGGGAACCCTAGCAGGGAGACAAATCTTGTGTTCTTCATCCTTCAGAGCCCCATTCCCTGACAGTATGCTCACCCTGAGTATGCGCTTAGCTTATCACAGGCTTCCAGATTATGGGTTAGGAAAGAGGGAATCAAGCAGATTTTAGCCATGGCTATAAAAACTGGGCATGTGCGTAGCAACTGTGCATGGATTTTCCAGACTCGGAGGGCCTCTCTGCTGTGGTGATACTTTGTGGAGATTTATAGACAAAGGATTTGGCAAGGCCGGTGGTTCTCAGGCCCCATGTGCCATGGAAACCCAGCCAGGTCAGCTTAGACCAAAACAGTCATTTGGTCCGATTCCCAACAGTTCATCTCTCCATCTCTGTGTCAGAGACCTGGAAACACAAACTGGCCTCAAACAAAGCCCTTCGGCCATATGTGCTAGACCTGGGCCACTCTCACGGCCTGTTGTTTCAGCTCATTTCATCATCTTTGGCTCTACCCTAGGAAAAGTACTTTTATATAATTGAAACAGTAAAACATTTTACTTTCTTACCATAGAAAGAGTGCATGTTCATTACAGACCACTTAGAAATTACTGAAGTACACAAAGAAGAAATTTACATCACTCACTGTAATTGGATCACCTGACAATAATCATTAGTAAATGGAAGGTAAAGCCCCAGTCTTATTTTTTATGACTTAAAATACATTTTAAAAGTAAAAAAAAAAAATTGGATCATACTGTAAATTGCTTTGAACTGGCTATTTTTTAATTTTTCTTAATACTATAATAATAATATATTTGAATTTTTATTGACTGCCTACTACATCTCAGCTACAAAAGTTCTGTGAAAATAGCTGCTACAGTTCCCATTTTACAACTGAGGAAACAAGAGTTCTGAGATTGTTTATTCTGCTCCATTCGTCTCATTAGATAACCTCATCCCTGGCCAGTCTCACTATTCATTGGTAAGCTCTAGCTCGAATTTTTATTATCAGCCCCACCTTTCCTCTCAACTTTAGACTTTTCTATCCAGTTGCGTATCTGACATCTCATTTTGGATCTCACAAGTGCCTAGAATTCAACCCATCCAATATCATGCAGAGGTATATTCCACATTGTATGGCATGAAGGCCTGTACCACTGTCATCGAAACTTGGGTCTGAGCTGCCATCTAAGCTTGTCTCCAGTGGTATACCCTTGACCTTGAGTTTATTCTCTACACAGCAGCCAAACAGTCTTTTCAAAGTGGAAATACAATTATGCTACCACCAACTTACGGCACTTGGGTGACTATCGTCTGCTCTTCACCTGAAGACCAGAGTCCTCAGCATGGCCTCCAACGCCAGCATGAGCTGTCTCCCTAGCCTCTGTTCACATCATGCTCCCTGCGCTCTGCACCCCAATCACACAGGCATTCTTTTAACTAAACCTCAACAGGATTTTTGCACTTGCTTTTCCTTCTTACTGAAATGCCCTCCCCATCACCCTGTTTGTTCTTTGCCTGGGTAATTCCTACTTTCTCTTTAGATGTCAGATTCATTACTAAATCTTTACATATGGCTTCCTTAATCCTCTAGGACCACTCCAGTTTCCTATATTATTCACTCATAGCACCGTGCTTCTCTTCTTTGTAGCACTATCGCAGTTATGAACTTATACCCTTTTGTATGATTCTTTGATTAAAGGCTCTAATGCCGTTAGACTATAAACTTCCTGAAGGCAGGAACCATATTTGTTTATGTCCATCATTATATCTCTATTGCCTAGAGCCCTGCATGGCACATCTTAGTTTATAAATACGCGTTGGATGAATAAGTGGTGTGACTTGTTCAGATTTACCCAGCTAAAATGGCTGAGCGAAAATGGAACCCAATGTTCTTCCTATTACATGATAATATCAGGAAGGCATAAAGCATTAAACACATTTGTATAAAATGTTTAATAACATCCTCCAACATTCCTGACCACTCCCAAAATCTCTGGACCTACCTCTGTACACTCTGACAACCCCACCTAAGAACATGAAGGGAAGGGTTTTCATTGCTGAAGAGAATTTAATAGTTAGAACATTGTTTTGATCCATACATCTTGAAATAAATATATCCTTTGATTGATATCTAAGCTTTGGGTTAGACACTGAGATGAAAAATGAAGAGAAAAGCATGGGTCCAGGACAAAATATGGTGAGGCATGAGGGCAGAAGCAAAGTGACAATGGCAGCACAGGCAAGCTTCACAGGGCTGGTGGTGGTCGATAGGGAATGCAGCATATTTTAACCGGGGGAGAGTCCAGAGATCCTCTGATTCTGTCTTCTCATTTTATAGATTTCCATGATGTGGCCATGCTCACACATTTAGCTTGAGGACTAGACCCTACACATTCCCCAAATACTTTTATGTTAGCCCATCAACAAGTATTAACTGAATATTTACTACAAACTCCCATATATTTAGTGTGGGGAACGTAGGACAAGGAATTTAAAAGTTAGTGAATTAATAATAATAATTTATGATAGTAATGATAGCAGCACTTTATGTTTATACAATGCATTAAAGTTTGCAAGTTACTTTTGTGTACTTCCTGTCATGCAATCTCCCCAAAGTCATTGAGGCAGACTGAGCACGATTCTCACATGCTGTATAGGAGGGAAAATTGCATCACTCGTCCAAAGCTGCAGGGCTATTAAATGGCAGATCTTAGCCTCAAATTCAAATTCCCAGACTCCGAGTTTGGTGATAGTTCCATAGCCTTTTGCCTCTGTGTTAAGTATAAAAACTTGTACTGCAGTTCTCCAATATCTCTATGAAGGTGGAGGCTCACCTTCCAATTTTAATAATATATTACAAATAATGCAGAGCCTTACCTCTCCTAGGCTCAGTCCTTTCCTCTTTCAGCATCAGGCTGGATGCCAGATCTCATGGAGCAGTGATTCTGTGCCAAGTTCAGCAGGGAGTATTGGATTAAGATTCTCATGTTGACAGCAATTTTGTCTTGTGAAGATGCACCAAGCCTGCCTTATGCATTCCTCTCACACCTGGGAGGACTGGAATAGATTTCTATTTGCAAACATAGTTTGTACCTTGAAACATGTATCATAAAAGAACAGAAATGTGGTTCCTTTGAAAATAATTCACCGTTACCCTTCCATTTCAATCATTTGGTGAGTTTTGGACGTAGTTTTCTTTCCAGAGTCCGTGAAAAGTTGTTTGTTTTCCACTCTCTTTTAACCAGCTGGGTGCCAACCTTTTCTTTCCTTCTCTTGATCTGACGTAAGTTCAATGTTTTGCTTCTGCCAGCTATTCCAGCTGGTAACCGGCAGGTAGTTGGATGAAAGAAGCTTTCTCTCCACTCAGGCAATGCACCAAGTCCCACCCCAAACACAGATACACACACATACACAAACACTGTGGAATACAATAGTTTGACGTACAGGATGCCCTGCATAAAGACGGCAGTTCACTTCCACCCACAGTCCTCTGTAGGCCGGTTCAGGGTAGTGAAATTGGCTGCTATCCACGCAAGAGGAAGGTCTGGGTCAAGAGGAAGGAATATCCCATCCTGAGGAAGACAGATTAGGTTTGTTCTGTATGATTTCTTGGGAATAGCTTCCAAATTTACAATGCACTGCAGCTCAATTTAGCTTGCTATCAGTCTAAGATTACTAAACTCTATGTAGAAGAAAAGCACATTCATTATTGTTATTAAGTGAACTAATTTTAGAACTATTACTAGAATAAAAGTCAGGGATATGATAATATTGAACTAGAAATGGGGCTAATAAAGCTCCTCATGTTTCCCCATTTAGGTAGGAAAGGCTGTAATTAGAAGTAAATAATGCAACAGGGAAACTTCTTTTGGGTGGTATGATGAAGAATGAACTGCTTTTAGCAAGCATTGTTTGGCTGAAGGAGCTACTCAAATGACAGATTGCCTTTTCAGATTTGGTCACCTTTCATTTAGATTAGAGACTGAATATGTAGCATGTGCTTTTTATTTAGGTTGGGTGGAGACCAGGGTTCACTCCTAGTTATCACAGGACATGCATGGTTACTGTAGCATAGGTCAGCTAGGAACCATCTCAGACCCTGCAAATGTAGAATCAGAGGCAGAAATGAGATGTTGAGACCCGGTAGCCTCAGGTGATTGGAGCCTTCACTCAAGTCTAGTATATAATATAGTTTGTTAACATGATAAATTTACCTCCCCCTTTCTTGTATGTATGCCTATTTTTTGTTGCTGTTGTTATTTTGTTTTCTTGCCAAATTGCTTTGGCGAAGACCCCCAAAACAACGTTAATTAAGGATGATGATTATAATTATTTTGCTTTCTTTTCGATTTTGATGAAAAAAACTCCTGGCTTGCTTTTAGTCATGATGTTACATGCATATTTTAAGTTTGTATTCTGTTTCTATCTCTGAAAGTTGCTGCAGTAATTGGTAGTCCCTGAAGAGAGACTTTGGGGCAAAACATTTTATTACCTTCATGATTTAAGACCTATACGGTTCTCAGTCAGTGTAGCCTAATCATCATCAATGCCTAAATAGCCTTATCTAAGTCTCTAGGATCAGTTCCTAACCTGGGTTAGGAGAAACTTTTGGGAGTTGAGACATGCACGCTGGGATGCAGCATTATGTTGCCTTTAAAGATAGCCCATCACTGGACTTAGGCTCTGGCTCTGACATGTGGATTTTTGTCTTATTCCCAAGACTTGGACTTCACTACCATATTCTAGTAAGTACTTGAATTTCTGTCTCTATAAATTGCCTATGACAGATACTGGTTAGCATAGTGGATCTGGACCAGAGGGCTTGGGTTCAAATCCTGTTTCTCCTACTTCTTAGCCTGGTTAATCTTAAGCAAGTTATTTAACATTTTTGTGCTTTCTCAATTGTTAAATTAGGGTAATAGCACTGGCCTCACAAGATTGTTGTGAGCTTTAAATTAAATAATGTATGTAAAGACCTTAGGAGAATGCTTAGCATATACTCTATCACTCACTAAAGGCTTATAGTTATTATTGATAGTAAAAAATGTAGTAGTACTGTTATCCATTTTGAATTGCACCTGACTTTCTTCTATCAACCCCCCTCTCAGGGCTGGATGTCCACTACTTGATTCCCATCTTGGTGGTTGGGGATCTGCTACCTGCAAATTGGCTTGTTTTGGCAGGACACCCCATTACAACATGTTGACCTTTGGAATAATCAGATATTTGTATTCTAAAAATAACCTACTGCCTGACCTCAGGTTACAGTATTCTATCAGGTGATTGAAATTTTCTCCAAAGACCCACTTCTGAGTTTAACTCTATTGCCTGCCTTCTATCCCACTGTTGTAAACCTTCTCCCACCTAAAGATTTTGTTCAAGATGTTCATGACTTTTTTTTTTTAATAGCATCTGACATGCTCATATAACTTATCTTAGTGCTTTTCCAGACGCAACACTAATTTGTGATTAGGGTTACTGTTCCAGCTCTGCAAAATCACTTCTGTTTGTCCTGAACCAGAGTTCACAATATAAAAGCATGCTAATTAATCCATTTGCTTAGTTAGCTCATAGTTATTTAACCTATAATCCAGGATTAACACTGTGCCTGGACATAAAAATAAACATGAAATAATGTAAGATGTGGCCACTGACCTTGAAGAACTCACAGTTTAGTTGAATAAGGAAAAGATACTGATTGTCCAAGGATAAGCTATGGAAGTGAAGGTGTGAATAGATAGCCTAGTAGGGAAATGAGATCTGAGTTGAATCATTTGGGTTTTTTGGTTTTTTTTCCTGGAGTCCATGAAAACGTGTTTGCTCTCCCCTTCTTTTAACTGGCTGGGTGCCAACGTTTTCTTTCTCTTCCTCTTGATCTGAAGAAAGAGGAGCATGTTCCAATTGGGGTGTTAACATTGTCAGTGGATTCTAATTTGGTGATATTAATTACAACTAATGTAATGCACTCAATTGACTTATTCAGCTACTTTTGTACTATTTACATTATTTTCCCTTACCTATGTATTCTCTGCACCATTATTTACTTACTAGCTTTAAGTCCTTGTTCTTTGGTTTAAATAACTTTATTAAAATTTTGTCATCACTATCTTAAATAGAAAAGCAGTATACCTTGCTATAAAAAGATAACATGATAGATATGCACAACTATTTAAATTTTTAAAAGTTAACCCATAAATCACCTAAAACTGTCTCAGTACCACCCCTGTGGAGCTCTGGCCTTGTCTCTTTCTGATGCTCCTTTGGGAAGGAAAAGTTTATTGAGGTCTCTATTCAAATACTGCTTGATAATTCTACGTCCCAGTGCTCGTCACCTGCCATCACTCTGTTCCGTACTTTGTTTTATTTTCTTCATAACATTTGTTATTTTCTGGAATTGTATTGTTTGTCTCCTGGCTTGTTATCTATTATTTATGATGAAATATAAACTCCGAAAGAGCAAGGACTTTGCTTTGTTTACTGCTATTCCCCAGGACTTGGTTACACTAGACGCCCAGTTGCCTGATTTTCATGGCAATATGGTCAGAAAGTGCCGTGATGCAAGAATCTGGGCTTAGGTAAAGTAACCTTGCTTGCTGGCTCAGCACCTCATGGCCTGATTTTTTTCCCTCCTGTGTCTTGGGTGGACTACTGTGACTTCGGACTTTATTTACCCTCCTGGGCTCATGGGACCTTTTTACTTCTCTGAACATCTGTAGATCTTCAGTACTTTGGGTTCTACTTCCTTGTGCTCCTTCACTTCTTTTTAAAGCCAACCCGCTGGCTCTGATTTCTTTCCTACCTAGACTACCTAACAGGGCTCTGACTCGGTTCCTCTGTTCAAAAGATTCCTGGACTGCCCATCATTATGCATCTAAGTGGTTACCAGAGGGTAAGGGGAGAAGGGGGAAGGTAGAAGAGGGTAAAAAGGGTCTAATATATGGTGATAGGAGGAGAATTGACTCTGGGTTGTAAACACATAATGCAATATATAGAAAAAAAAAAGAAAGAAAGAAAAGAGAAAAAAGGGGGGAGGGAAAAGCCATGTAGCATTATTAGTGAATACCCACGTGGCCTGAAAGAGGTCATTGATGTAGTTTGCTAAAGGGCCTAACTTGTTTCCAGAGAGCCGTTCACAAACTGGCAGGACTTGTCCAGGAAAGGACAGCTATAACAATTCAACCATACTGAGTGGTGTGCTCTAATATTTTAAAAATAAAAAATAGGACAATGGCAAGTATATTTGTCCACCTGTGCCAAGAGTAGCTTTAGCTAAATGCTTACATATGTGTCTCAATTTTAGTTCTTAAAGACTGTATTTTTCATTCTTAAGGTAATGAATATATAATTATTAAGAATGTCCTCCAAGGGCTGGCCGAGTGGCTCAGTTGGTTAAGAGCTTGCTCAAGAGTGCTAATTCTGAGCAACAGCATTGCTGGTTCAATTTCTAGCCCGAGATGAGCTGCTGCTGAGCTGCCAACAGGTAGCAGGATGGCTCAGCTGAAAAAAAAAAAAAAGAATGTCCTCCCAGTAGATTATATGATTTAAAAAGATTTAGATAAATTTTTATCATTTTTAATATTTATATACTAATCAGAGTCATTGAAAGAGATAATATGATCTATGTGATAGAGAAATGTTATTTAAAATATTTCCATTTAGTTTTTATTCTTTAAAGACTTTATTTTTTCCTGCCTAATTAGGTAATGGTGAGTCAAGGAATAAAGGCACATATCTATTTCCTGTGACAAATCCAATGCCTGTTAAGGCTGGTTGATTAAAGAAGCCATACTTCTTGGTGATAAACGACTCCATGTCTGTAATAAGGCCCATGCACTTCCAATGAAATCTTTCACGTCATGGAAGAGGAAACAAGATTGCAAATTTGAGAGTGGATGATAATGATTAGTATTGGATGCTATTTATAATTGGGCACAGGAAGTTAATTAGTTGTTTTCAATACAGTGACTGAGCTGATCCCAACCGAAAAAGCACATAGGATTTATAAATGAAAAATATTTTTAAAACGGCTGAGAAATTTTATGGTTTGGGTAAAGTTAGGGGAAAGCATGCTGACTGGTAAAAAATGACAACTGGGAATTTTGATTACAGAAAAATGAAGATTTTTTAAAATTTATTTTATTTTAATAAATTAAGTAACATGGTATTTGAAGGAATTTGGGCATGCATTTGTGGAAAATAGGTCCTTTCTAATTCAGTAGTGATTATCAGTGGCATAAAAGGTTATATTCTCCAAATATACAAAGCGTTTACTCTGTGGGAATAAGTATGAAATGTGAGATTAACTGACGTAAGCTACAAAGATACTCTTTAATGCACTGTGGGAATATT